ACATTCGAATCCCAGTGCCCAGATTGGCTATGCATTTCCCACAACGGACTGGTTCTTCGTCGGGAATGGGGGAATTCCCCAGGTAAACCTTTTAAGGACTGCATGGAATACCCATTCCCCTAAACCCTATACACCCTGCACCCTAAATCCTAAACCCCATTCCCTACACAGAACTCGGGGGGTCTCACAAGTGCCTGCGACGTGCGCAGCGCAGACCGGGATGCTGCTAGGGCTTTGGACATCACACATATGGCAGCTTGCGCCCAAAACTCGATACAGGGTTTGGGGCTTAGGGTTTAGGGGTTTGGGGTTGCTTATTAGGGTCTTGGTGCATTGGCGTGTTTTAAGTTGACAAAGCCCAGCCGGGAGCCTTCTTTTCCGCTGCTGTAGCAGGTTTGAGACGTCGTGCGCCCACAAAGTCCTAGCCCCTGGACGGGACTTTCCGCACTCGCGCCCGCGCCAATGCCTGTATATCACTACTCTAGGGTTTAGGGCTTAGGGTTCAGAGTTTCGGGTTTAGGGTTTCGTGACTACCATGACTTGTGTATCCGTCTATCTATATGGCACAAACCTCCACCAGACGCAAGAAATCAAAAGCACCACTCACGCCGGCTGTGCAAGGGCCTGCCTGCAAGCTCAGACCCCGCCGACTTTGGACTTGAGCTTGTATGATCGCACGCAGAATCTCACGACGTCTGTGCGGCCAGATTGTCAAGGAAGAGGTCCAGCCACGCGAAGAGAGGCTCGTCGATGCCAACTTGAGTTCTGTTCGATACCGCAAAGAAAGGCCACCCTTTCTGCCTTGCGAGCTGCTCGGCCTCCTCTACAGACACCTCCGGATCCGCAATGTCTGCGTGCGTGGCCACCATGCAGACACGTCGGCAACTCTGAAAGTGGCCTCTCTCTGCATCTTCAAACACCCGCAAGGCCTCATTCAGGCTCTCCCGATTGCGAAGCGAGAAGAACAACAGTAGTCCCGACGCTCCTCTGAAATATCCATTTGTGATGGGCCTTAAGCCTGGCTGTCCAGCAGTGTCCCAGAGCTGTATCTTGAGCCTTGCCCCATCCTCCTAGGCTGCCCAGTAACCTAGGCTTAAAAAAAGGGCGCCCTTTTTTGCTTAAAGGGGTTTATAAGGGAACCTAAACCCCCCCCCAGAAAGGGAATGAGGGTACTACTGGGCATCCTAGCCTCTGACTGCAGGCGCAGGAACTTGAAATCTACACCAATTGTCGGAGTGTAGGCGTCCGCGAAGGCCGAGCGTGTGCACGCCCGCATCCACGACGTCTTGCCAGCCCCTGCACCCCCTACAAGAAGACACCTCGCCAAGTAGTGCTGCATGTCCTCCCCTTCGTGAGACCAGGGGGTGTAGGTGCCAGTAGGCTTTCGGACAAGGTACAGGGAAGACTCCTCAGTGAGGTTCAGTTCTGACAGCTTCCTGCCCGGCGAAACCATCTCGGTGCCGTGCAGCAGCGTGAGTCTGCCGGGTCTTCCATCAGAAAGGGTCTGCAGCACAGACCTAACCGTTCGGCTTCCGGGCAGCTGCTGCTCCAGAGCCACCTCGCCAGCCGGGGTCAGGATCCGTACTGGGAGCATCTTGTCGGGATCTGCGAAACTCCACGTGCTCCATGCGAGCAACGAAGGCCTGCCTTGCCCCAACCCCATAGCACCTCGAACACGCACTTGCCCGCAAGAAGTGACGAGGAAACTGATAGACAGAGAAAGAGAAAGAGAAGGCAACGAGGAAGAGCGAGAAGGAGAGAACAACAACAGGCTGTTAACAAGACCCGAGAGGCCAAGGAATGTTGCCTAGCTAACAGCAAGGGTCAGGCAACACAGCGAGCCCAAAATTTGAGGGCTCGGAAAATGAAAAACTCCTACCTTGGAATCTACAGGCTACACGTCCCCTTGCAGCTGTTGACGCTGCTAACACCTCACTGAGAATGGGTTCAGGCTTCACGGGGGTGGTTGTGTATGGGCTTAGGGGGCTTTGGGTTTGGGATTGCAACTTTCCGGCAACGTGCCCGCGTAGGGTCTAGGGTTTAGGGTTTAGGCCCGTTTAGGGCCAGCTGCAAACCGTAAGACTTGGGGGGGGGGGGAGCACTTGTAGCACCTGAGCCAGTCAGCCGAAGTTCAGAACAGTTGAAGGAAAATGAACTCCCAAACCATCTTAGGCCATGCCATGTCCCCCCCTCCCCCCCTTCCCTCCCTCCCCCTGCCTCCCTCCCGCTCTCCCTCTCTCCCTCTCTCCCTCTCTCTCTCCCTCTCCCCTCTCTCCCCCTCTCCCCTCTCCCCCTCTCCCCCTCCCCCTCTCCCCCCTCCCCCTCTCCCCTCTCCCCCTCACCCCTCCCCCTCTCCCCCTCCTCTCCCCCTCTCCCCCCCTCTCCCCCTCTCCCCCTCTCCCCCTCTCCCCCCGATCTCTCCCTCTCTCCCTCCTCTCTCTCCTCTCTCTCCCTCCTCCCTCTCTCGCTCTCTCCCTCTCTCCCTCTCTCCCTCTCTCGCTCTCTCGCTCTCTCGCTCTCTCGCTCTCGAGCTCTCGCGCTCTCTCGCTCTCTCGCTCTCCTCACAATCTCTCTCTCAATCTCTCTCTCACTCTCTTTCTGCATCTCTCTCTCTCTCTCTCCGTCTCTCTCTCTCTCTCTCTCTCTCTGTCTGTCTCTCTCAATTTCCCCCTCTCTTTCTCACTTAATCTTGAGAACCTTTTTCTGTGCAGCCTGCGCCCGCTGCACGAGGCGGCGCGGAAAGCTTGAGGCGTCCATGCCCACCACCTATGACTTTCATGACATATCTGAACCTGCATCTATTGCACAACCGGGGCAAACCCAACAAAACCAAGGACCTAGCGCGACGGCTGGGGGCCTGCCTGCAAGCTCAGACCCAGGCCAACTTTTATCTTTGCTTAGGGTTTAGGGTTTAGGGTTTGATGTTCATAGGGTTTAGGGTCCTAGGGTTGCATGCTCACGTACATGCAGAATCTCACGATGTCTGTGCGGCCAGACCGTCAAGGAAGAGGTCCAGCCACGCCAAGAGAGGCTCGTCGATGCCAACTTGAGTTCTGTTCGATACCGCAAAGAAAGGCCACCCTTTCTGCCTTGCGAGCTGCTCGGCCTCCTCTTCAGACACCTCTGGATCCGTGATGTCTGCGTGCGTGGCCACCAAGCAGATATGTCGGCAACTCTCTAAGTGGCCTCTTTCTGCATCTTCAAACATCTGCAAGGCCTCATTCAGGCTCTCCCGATTGCGAAGCGAGAAGAACAACATTAGTCCCGACGCTCCTCTGAAATATCCATTTGTGATTGTCCTGAAACGCGGCTGTCCGGCAGTGTCCCAGAGCTGGAGCTTGAGCCTTGCCCCGTCCTCCGACTGCAGGCGCAGAATCTTGAAATCTACACCAATGGTCGGAGTGTAGGCGTCCTCGAAGCCCTCGCGGCTGTATGCCCGTATCCACGACGTCTTGCCAGCCCCTGCACCCCCCACAAGAAGACACTTCGCCAAGTGGTGCTGCGTGTCCCCTTCATCAGACCAGGGAGTGTAGGTGCCAGTAGGCTTTCGGACAAGGTACAAGGAAGACTCCTCAGTGAGGTTCAGTTCTGACAGCTTTCTGCTCTGTGGGACCACGTGGGTGCCGTGCAGCAGCGTGAGTCTGCCGGGTCTTCCATCAGAAAGGGTCTGCAGCACAGACCTAACCGTTCGGCTTCCAGCCAGCTGCTGCTCGAGAGCCACCTCGCCAGCCGGGGTCAGGATCCGCACTGGGAGCGTTTCATCCCATTGCTCCTCGAACCCAATGCCATGCTCGAACGCGTACTGCAGCAGCTCCTGTACAATTTGTTTTAGAGCGCCGAACAAAATTAAAGAAAAACAATCCCTAGTTTACCCTTATAAGGAGGAATATTGGTAGTCCTGTACTTGCTCAATCGAGGCAGTTTGGGCTATGTGCGAGAGCTGCACACGCGCATTGGCACCTGCGGACACGTCCGACGATGGCTTGCCATGCCCTACTCCCATGATGCTTTGCTCGGATCGAATCCACTGCGGGGCGTCGAAAGAGAGTATCTCCAGTATAAGGCAGCAATCTTACGGAACACTTTGCGGCTCCACGAGATGCACTGGTTGGCACATGTACAACCCAAAGACTTAAACCTTACACCCTAAACCCACGGACGAAGTGTGCTCTGCCCCACCGCTGAGATCAAAGCTGCGTCCACGTGCGGCCGGCAAAGGTCCCTGAACCCTAAACCCTAAACCCTAAACCCTAAACCCTAAACCCTCCGTTCTCCGTTCAGGGTTTAGGGTTACAGGGCAGCTTTTCAGAGTTCGACTTAATGGGGTATAAGGCGAGACCCTAGGAGGGACTCTGAATCTTAGTCCCCTATATACCTATATATATCGTTTCCACTCCCTATATACCTAAGTAGCCCCTAACCCCCAAATACCCTTTAGGTCCTTTATGAGGCTTTACTCCCTTGACAAACCCTTTTTGCATCAGGACTTGTGCAAGCCCTAACCCTAAAACCCTAAACCTCGCGAACCTGTTGAACAACCAAACCACTCTTTAAGTGAGTCTTCAAGGGATGTGAGGAGGGACCCCCAGAAGGGACCCTGAATCTTATTCCCCTATATACCCCCTGATATGCAACATATAGTATTCTACATAGGCCCTATATGCCTAACTCTCCTTTCGTCCCTTGAACCCTTGAAGCTATCTGCTGCACCTGTGGTTTAGGGTTTAGGGTTTAGTGTTTAGGGCTTGGCAGAACTCCCATGCGGCATCCTCAGTCCGGGGACCCGCAAAAAAGTTGTTTTTGCCTTCATGATGGCAAGCGCCCCCCCTGAAACCTTCACCCTAAACCCCAAACCCTAAACCCTAAACCCTAAAACCTGAACCCTAAACACTAAACCCTAAAAACTAAAAACCCTAAACCCTAAACCCTAAACCCTAAACCCTTAACCCTAAACCCTTAACCCTTAAACCCCAACTGTGCTCAACACTGGGCACCAGCGCCTCCTGGTGTGCTGGGCCGCTGCTTCGGCGTTGCCCCCTGGCCGGACCACCCTTTAGGCCCGTTTAGGGTTTAGGGTTTAGGGTTTAGGGTTTAGGGTTTAGGGTTTAGGGTTTGGGATTCGGACGGTTCCGAGTAGCTTCCGTGACCTCAGAAACCCTATAGACCCTAAACCACGGCAGAACCAAGAACCACTAGCTAAGCGCAGCTGTCGGAGTCCTAGGATTTGCCTAAGGAAGCCCAAAAGGTGTAGCGGAGATACCATACTTGCGACGGCCCTCTCAGGGAGCACATTTTCCAGGCTTTTCTTGTGGTTTCACCCTGAACCCTAAACCCTAAACCCTAAACCCTAAACCCTAAACAATCCTGCAGAAAGGTCAGTCTTGGGCCCTGGCGTCGCTGCGCGGCGTCAAGGCTGCAGCCTGGTTCTAAGGAACCCTGAAGTAAGATAGGCAGGGTTTAGGGTTTAGGGTTTAGGGTTTAGGGTTTAGGGTTTAGGGTTTAGGGTTTAGGGTTTAGGGTTTAGGGTTTAGGGTGTAGGGTTATGGGATTGAGCCCAAGTGGTTTCGTGGCTTATAGGCTTCAGGTTTGTAGGCTCATTTAGTGGGGTTATGCGATTTAAGGTTTTAGGTTTGCGGCTTCTTTGCATTCTTGCTTGCGCCTGTGAGAATTGGATGTCGGCGATTCCAAAGATGTTTTCATGGCCCTAAACCCTACCAACAAAACATGAAGCGATCATCATTATGACCGTAGTTGCCTCTTAGGGGTGCTTTGTCGAACAACAAAGGGAGCAGCGCATAAGTTTTTTTGCCCGAAACCCTTAGCCTTAACCTGAACCAAACCCAGGGGTACAACCTTAGGGGTCCAAGGAACAATCCCACGATAGAAGCCCTAAACCCTTTTTGCAACTGGGACTTGGTCTTTAAACCATTTTGCAATTGGAGAGCTGCTGCTTAGGGTTTAGAGAGGGTTTGAGAATCTCCAGCCCTAAGCCCCAAACCCATCTTCACGGGCCTTTGCCGGGCGCCGCAGGGGGACTGCTGCTTTGGCAGTCGGCAAACCCAGGCGCTCTAAATTCCTTGGCGGGGCAGGCGATTTAGGGCTCAGGGTTCATGGAACGGCCCTAAACCCTAAAGCCTAAGCCCTAAACCGTAAGCCCTAAGCCCTAAGCCCTAAACCCTGCCCAACTGTCACCCTAAACGTTACACAGTTGTTTCGAGTTGAAGGAGCGGGGGCAGCCATGGCTCGGTACCGGGGAGGGGGAGGGAGGCTTTAGAGCTTTAGGGTTTAGGGATAGAGGGCTTACAGGTTTTCACGACCTCTGAGCACCTTCTGCTCATCTCAGGAACTCTATCGGAAACCTTGCCAAGCCCTTTTTTGAGCAACGGACTTGGGAGGAGCAACTTCTCAGAAGTCACATCACGCAAACTGTTCTATGCACCCATATCACCATGAGCAAGCACACGTGAGTCAAGGAAAGAAATCTGCGAATACGTCAAGATATCAAAGAGTAGAATTCGCTGAAACTAGCCCTAAACCCTAAACCCTAAACCCTAAACCCTAAACCCTAAACCCTAAACCCTAAACCCTAAACCCTAACCCCTAAACCCTAAACCCTAAACCCTAAACCCTAGCCCTAAACCCTAAACAAGCAGCCAACAACATCGCCACGCCCGAGTCTCTCCAGGATGTGGGCAGTCAGAGGCGGCACCTGGGCACGACTGCCGCGGCTGGAGATTGAGTAGCCCTAAACCCTAAACCCTAAACCCTAAACCCTAAACCCGTTTTGCAACTGGACTGCGAACAACCGCCAGGAAAAGACACGACCCCCTAAACCTTATAAACCCAAAACCCTAACCTCCCCAAACCCTCTGAGGGTTCGAGGGTTCAGGGAGGGGGTTCTTACGTTCTTGGGGCTTCTACGGTCTCAGAAGCTTCCGGGTTTCACCCAAAACCCAAAACCCAAAACCCTTCAGCGGAAAATCGCAAAACTTCTAAGATAGGGTTTAGGGTTTAGGGTCACAAGCTGCAGCTCTCCAAGTCTTAGACATTGTTGGGAGTGGCTGATTAAAGCTTCCTTATAGATCAACTTCGTGGCACGCAGCCACGCCCACCCTGGATTTGGGCTGGATTTGCGGGCGATTAGCAACGCAAGGTTTTACTAGTAGGGTCTAGGGTTGTTAGTATATGGCTCTATAAGTATTAATTGGAGCAAAATGCTGCTTGAGAAGTGGGTGGATCCGGAGCGTGTTCTGTGCCAGTGAATGGAACACAAGAACCAAGCAACTGAACCTACCCTAACCCGAACCGAGATGAAAGGCTTTGAGCCTAATTCCCCGACGTGACGGGCGCAGACTCCTGGGTGCTGTAGCTTCATAAGCAAGGCCTACCTTCCAACTACCCATGACCACCGGAACCTGCCGGCCCTAACCCTAAACCCTAAACCCTAAACCCTAAACCCTAAACCCTAAACCCTAAACCCTAAACCCTAAACCCTAAACCCTAAACCCTAAACCCTAAACCCTAAACCCTAGGGCTGCCACCATCTCATCTTGTAGTTCGTGGTCTTTGCAGAACTGGATGGCCAAAGCTTCGGCCTGAACTGCTCGCTGCATCAGGGGATCCCATACAGGTTTAGGGTTTAGGGTTTAGGGTTTAGGGTTTAGGGTTTAGGGTTTAGGGTTTAGGGTTTAGGGTTTAGGGTTTAGGGATTTCGGATTGGGGTTTAGGGATTTCGGTTTGGGGTTTAGGGATGCTTGGGCCTTGTTTGGGGCCTTGTTTCAAGGTGGGGGGGGAGACGTGGGGGGGGGGGGGGGGGCGGGCCGTTGGGGGGCTCTGCTCTGTCTGGGTGGGGGGGGGGGGGTGGACTCTACGCCTTACTAGAGCTCTCCGGGCTGAGATTGAAGGGATTATGAGCCTTTCGCGGCAGTCTGCCAGAGCCTTGTCACCCTCGTGGACGAGAATGGGCTCATGCTTGTCGGCCTGCCAGATGCGGGGCAGGTTGAAACTGGCAAAGTCTCACGATGTCTTGAATGAGAGCCGGGTCGACTGTCATTTTTGGGCTGCGCTGGGCTGTTCACAGGCTAGGGGCGTTCTTCCTAGAGGCTGTGCAACCCTGGCCGGGACATTTTGACCTACCAGAAGCTGACTATAGGGGGTCGGAAAAACTACTAACAATATTCCCTTATGGTCTTTTTTGTAATGAGACTGTAATAGCCCCCCCCAAACCCTATTCTAATTATTCAGGCCCCGAGATTCCAAGCTCGTGTGCACCGAGAAACAAAAACTCACCCCGGCAGAGTGGCCCTATGCTGCAATTATTCCTTCAGCCAGCCACTTATCCTAAACCCTAAACCCTAAACCCTAAACCCTAAACCCTAAACCCTAAACCCGAAACCCTAAACCCAGAGATCTCCTGCTCATGGAACTCTACCTCGGACACCCGAGGTTGCACCCTTGGGTTTGGGCACCCTTTTTCAAGATCCTGAAGGTAGCATAAGGCTTAGACTACCTTAGACCCATAGGGTTGTATATTTGGGTTTTGGGCACCCTTTTTCAAGATCCTTCAGGTCGTCTAAGGGCCACATCTACCTTGGACCCACGGGGTTGTGCCCTTGGGTTTTGGGGACCCCTTTTCAAGATCCCTAAGGTAGTATAAGGGCAATATTAGGAGCACATTGAAGGGGAACCTTTAGGGGTACATCCTCAGTACGAGTCTTCATCCCTGGACCTAGGCCGAGCTCCAAGAGAGACTAAACCCAGGGTTTAGGGTTAGGGTTTAGGGGTTAGGGTTTAGGGCTTAGGGCTTAGGGCTTAGGGCTTAGTGCTTAGGGCTTAGGGTTTAGGGTTTAGGGTTTAGGGATACTTGGAGCTTCATGGGTAGTTGTAAGTAGGGCTACAAGTATGGTAACTATACTTATGACCCCACTTAGGCTACGTATAACGCTACTTACAAGTACCCGTGAATCTCGAAGTATTCCTAAACCCTAAACCCTAAGCCCTAAACCCTAAACCCTGAACCCTAAACCCTAACCCCTAACCCCTAAACCCTAAACCCTGCAAAAAAGTATCCGGAGTCCAAGCTCCCCACTGTCACTTCGACTGTGACCTTTAGAAGCCTCAGCGCAGCAACGCGGGTTTAGGGTTTAGGGTTTAGGGTTTAGGGTTTAGGGTTTAGGGTTTAGGGTTTAGGGTTTCGGGAGGTATCTGGGAGGAGGCTGCCTCTACTTGCTCTCATCGCATAGGCTCGTGGAGAGGCACCCCATGTACCCACAAATTCCCTCAAACCCTAAACCCTAAACCCTAAACCCTAATAAGACTTAAACTCAAGAGGACTCTACCTAGGATCCCTCAGGTGCTACCCCGGGTTTGGGCATCCTTTTCCAAGATCCCCTCAGGGAATATGAGGGATATGATGGGCAGATATATAAGCCCTAACCCGAAACCCTAAACCCTAAACCCTTGTTTTCCATCTGGGCTGGGTGGGGAATGCCAGAAAAAAGCAGCTGCTGGCACAACGGGAAACCCTAAACCCTAAACCCTAAACCTCATAAGGTTTGAGTCTTAACCCCTTGGTACACCCTAAACCCTGAACCCCAAACCATCAACACGCTAAACCCACAACCCTAAGCCCCCTTCAGCAACGCACCTCCTAAACCCTAAACCCTAAACCCTAAACCCTAAACCCTAAAAAACCCTGAGCCCAGGAGCCTTTGGGCCCCCAGTCTTGGCCATCTCATGCCCAAAGCCAGAAGCTGCAAAGTGGTTTATTCCGAATAGCTTCTCTTGTTGTGGTGGTGTACCCTGATCATGACTACTGCGACTGTTCTTCTTCATTCTGATTCCCAAAGGGTCCATGTACCTATATAGTAGATACTTGGGCCTTAAAGGGGTTCCTATATAGTAGCTTTAGGGGCCAAGCATATACTATACAGGTACATGGACCCTTAGGGATTGTGAGAATGGTTCTTACCAGGCTCTCCCTGTCCTTCTCTCTCTCGTAACACCAGGATCCTTGTGGCGGATTGTGGTCGTGATACTGGCTGCCACGATTGCCAGCATTATTGCCACTACTACTACTACTACTACTACTACTACTACTACTACTACTACTACTACTACTACTACTACTACTACTACTACTACTACTACTACTACTACTACTGCTACTACTACTACTACTACTACTATACTACTACTACTACTACTACTACTACTACTACTACTACTACTACTACTACTACTACTACTACTACTACTACTACTACTACTACTACTACTACTACTACTACTACTACTACTACTCGTGCCATCACTCTGAGGGTTGTGGTTCCTAAACCCTAAACCCCAAACCCTAAACCCTAAACCCTAAACCATCCACTGCACCCAAACGCAGGCGAGTGGCAATCGGCGGTTGGGTGCCGCAGCATCACCTGTACTCCCAAGGTTTAGGTTTTAAGGTTTATGGGGTTTAGGGTTTAGGGTTTAGGGTTTAGGGTTTAGGGTTTAGGGTTGATCCATAGGCTTTACTTAGAAGACTGCGCTGAGTTGGTCAAGGTAAGGACATCACACCACAAGGAAACTTCCCTCACTAAGGAACACCGAACTCCCGAAACCCCCTTTTAGGGTTTAAATCAGGGTTCAGGGAAAACCCATCAGCCCACAGGTACAGGCAACACGTCACCCAACATGCTACCTGCCAACTGCTAACCCAGTGATTCAGGGCACTGATTATCCCAAAACTTAGAACCTTAGGGCACTTAAGGGGTTCATCAGTGGGCTACGTGTACAGTGATATTTGGAAGAAACCCTAAACCCTAAACCCTGACCTCTAAACCCCAAACCCTGGGGTTATTAACTGCAGATATAGTTGGTTAAGAAGGTGCCATGAACCTCCAAGTATCCCCAGTGATTCAGGGCCTTTTTAAAGGCTGGGGCCCAGCTCTGCTTGAAGGTTCTTCTGTCTACATATGACATATGGTATATTCTACAATATGAAAAATTTCAACAAAAGCAAGCAACGTAGTGCTACATATCTTTATGTATGTTTTTTTCGCTCTTCCAGAACGAAGGTGTCAAAGAGTGTTCCAGCCGGTGGCCACCCTAGTCGTCGGCGGCGGCAAGAGAGCGCCCACCGACAAAGTCCGGGAGACGTAAGTGTAAACCCTAAACCCTAAATGCAAGTGCCCAGGGCGCACCAACAGAAACTTTCTTTAAACCTAGATCAAGTCATTCCTACTATATGCTTAAGAACCTCCCCCCCCCCCCCCCCCCCCCCCCCCCCCCCCCCCCCCCCCCCCCCCCGTCCCCCCCCCTCCCCCTCCCCCCCGTCCCCCCCCTCCCCAAAAAAAATAAAATGAAGATATATATGTATATAATATATATATATATGGAATGATCTTCCTTATAAGGGCAATGGAGGGATTGTTAGTTTTTGTTTTTTCGGGGGGGGGGGGGGGGGGTTCCGTAGCAAATTGTAGATTTGATGCTTAGATTCTAGATGGGTTTGGAAGTTGCAGTTGTTCACAAAGGCCTACGACTCATGAGGAATTTCGTACTCGCGAACACCCTACTGCCATCAAGAAAAGAACACCCACTCCCCCAAAGCAGACGGAAAATCTAGAGCCCTCGGCTCAAAACCTGCCTTTTTGCGACGCCAACAGCGACTGCCATTGCGGGGCACTGCCTCTTCGGGGTAAGGGTTTGTGTAGAGGGTGGAATCCAAACCTTCACCAGAAATCAAAAGCACCAATCGCGCCGGCTGTGCAAGGGCCTGCCTGCAAGCTCAGACCCCTGCCGACTTGCAATTGAGTTTGCATGGTCTTACGCAGAAACTCACGATGCGTGTGGTTCCATATCGTCAAGGAACAGGTCCAGCCACGCGAAGAGAGGCTCGTCAATGCCAACTTGATTCTTGCTCGACACTGCAAAAAAAGGCCAGCCTCTGTGCCTTGCGAGCTGCTCGGCCTCCTCTTCAGTAACCTCTGGATTCGCAATGTCTGAATGCGTGGCCACCAGACAAACTCGTCGGCAACACTCGGCCTGAACTGCCTCTGTTTCTTCAAACTTGCGCAAGACCTCGTTCAGGGTTTCCCGAAAGCGAAGCGAGAAGAACAGCATCAGTCCGGCCGCTCCCCTACAAAATGCTCTCATGGCTGCCGTGTAATTGTAACATAAACGTGGCTCCCGACCGGTGTCCCAGAGTTGTATCTTGAGCTTAGTTCCATCTTCTGACTGCAGGCGCAACATCTTGAAATCCGCGCCAATTGTTGGCCTGTAGCTCTGGGTAAAGCTTTCACGGCTGATCGCTCGTGTCCAGGAAGTCTTGCCAACCGCTCCCCCACCCATGAGAACACACTTAACCACGTGGTGCTGCGTGTTCGGCCTGTTCCCATCGTCAGACCATGGAGTGTAGCGGCCAGGTGGGTTTCGGACAAGGCACAAAGAATCCTCCTCAGTCAGGTTCAGTTCTGATAGCCTCGTGCTGTGGTGGACAACCTTTGTGCCGTGCAGCAACATCAGTCTGCCGTTCCTTCCTCCAGAAAGTGTCTGCAGCACAGACCTAACCGTTCGGCTTCCGGGCAGCTGTTGCTCGAGAGCCACCTCGCCAGCCGGGGTCAGGATCCGCACTGGGAGCATTCGATCTGCTCGTGCCCCCGCAAAAATACCGTGCCCGAATGCATAGTGCAGCCACTCCTTCACGTGCTCAAACGATGCAGGTTGGGCTATGTGCGAAAGACGCTTTGCACCAGCAGATGTGGACACGTCTGACGATGGCTTGCCATGTCCCAATCCCATGATGCTTGGCTCGGAATACACCCGCTAAGGAGAGCAACGTACTGTCAAACGCAAGACAGCACCCCTAGCACAAAGCAAAGCAATCTTACGGAACAATGTCAGCTAAATTAGGGCCCCCAAACCCTAAATTCTAGTTTGACTCATTGCAAAAATATTAAACATGCGAACTCTGAGGCCATGCCTATAACAGCTTCCACTCTATGCCGGTAATGAGGCAACGGTTCACCTCCCCTTGGGACTCGATCTACCCCTGGGAAAAAGCCTCGAACGCAGTCCACCAATTTTCTGCAATAATAAGAGAGAGAGAGAGAGGGAGAGAGAGACTCACATAGCCAAGAAGCTCCCCTTAAGCAAAAGGTCGAAGGAGCGACATGTCTTGGCGGGGTCGGGCCCTGCCTCTGCTCATTCCGCGAGCTGGCGCGAGGCAGGGCAGGAAACGGACGCTTGAGATACAAAGGGCCCGGAAACGAATTCGCTCTAACCCTAAACCCTCAACCGGAAACCCGAAACCCTAAACCCTACACCCTAAACCCCAAAAACCCTTTTTCCGGCTAGGGCTGCTGCACTGCCTGCCTGGGACGAAACCACGCCATTCGCGAGCGGGCAACGCCTAAACCCTAAACACTGCAACTTGGGCAGACTGCTCCTAAACCCTAAACCCTAAACCCTAAACCCTAAACCTCAGTCTTAAAGCTGCGGGTCGTCCGGGCACAAAACCAGGGAGACTGATTGATCTGCCACGGGAAAGCCGGAGTCCAACCGAGAGCCTTTATCATCCCTTTAGTCTAGGGTTTCGGGTTTAGGGTTTAGGGTTTAGGGTCCACTTCCTCAACCTTACTGCTGGTTAGCAGGGAATGAGGGGAATGAGGTACCCTCTATTCCCCTGTTACGTACCCTTTAATAAGGGCTTATCTAGGGTACCTCCTTCCCTCATTCCCTAGGAACCAACAGCAAGCAACCACAGGCGCGGTCTTTCTCCGCCAGAAGCGGCGCAGCATCAGCGAACGCAGCCCTTCTGAGGACAGGGGATCGCGCACACGGCCAGGCTCAAGCCTCGCCAAGATCGTTCAGGAAGTGATTGTGGAGGAACTGAAAAAACTAGGGTTTTAGGGTTTAGGGTTTTAGGGTTTTAGAGTTTAGGGTTTTAGGGTATAGGATTCCAGGACATGAGTTGCTAGGCTGCCAGAACCCATCAGGCAAAACAGCTTTGAAAGCACTGGTTGTGAGCGCTGACTTGGGCAGTCGCTGTTCCCTAGTGCTTTGGCCAGCATGAAGTTTGAAACACCAGACCCCCCTACCCCTCCGGACACCGGCCCAGTACTAGAACTTTTTGGGGGGGGGGGGAGTAGGAGGAAGCGAGTATTCCGGATGCTACTGTCAGTATCTGGCATCTTCCCAAGTCTCCCACATGGTGTACGTTGTTCAGGCCCCACATTCCGCGCCACAACTCCCCGATTCTCTAGGAATGACAGACTTCTCATAGCATCACGGCGGCCCCCTCCATCACCCCTTTCCCTTCAGTCTCCCCCGCAAAAAACAAAGGAATGCGAGGGCCAGGGTGGCCCTTAAAACCCTCTGAAAAAATGTTTCTGAATATGATCCTCTTAAACTGCTATTTGCTTAAGCCAAAAGAATTAAAAAAAAAAAAAAAAAAAAAAAAAACACAAGAATCCCTATATTACCCTTAATAAGGAAGAACATTATTCTTTCGGGGTTCTTAAGCACTTAGTAGTAAACCCAATCAGGGAAATCATAAGACATCCCAAGGGCCAACCTAGGGGGGGTATTTTTGAGTAGTTGTTGTAGTTCTTACTTCCCCAAAACAGTGCTTGCAGTGTGGCGTGCTTACGCTGGGGTCAAGGTTTTTCCGGTGGCGCGCACGACGCGATTCTAAGGTAACTAAGCAGAATCAGAACTCAAGGAGGGGGCGTGGTCAGGGGCGGTAGGGCTTCCATACCAGCTTCATGAACTGAAGGCTTTCAGAAGTTTTTCAAGTGTTCAGTGCCCTTGTTGTGCATGGCTTCTTAGGGTAGCCACTGGAAACCCTCCAGCTCCAGGGTTTAGGGTTTAGGTAAACCAAGGGGCAGCCAGGTGCTGCGCCGTGGAGGCCCAACCACAGCGATCGCAACCGCCTCTGTTGGTTGGGGTCTACAGGGCTTCGGGTTGTGCGATGAAGGGTGAACCAGCGGGTTTTAGACACTGCAAGAATGCCGTTCAAGAATCATACTTTCAAAGGGCTATTTGGGTGGCTTGCACTCCAACTTATAGCAGGAAGCATGTGGGGACAAGATGAATCATGTTGTAGGCTTCTGTAGTGGATGTATAGTTAGCCGGCGCTACTGCTGGGGTCTGCATCGAAAGATGAACGACGTACAGTGCCGCACCTCTTCCACTTTCATGTGCTGACGGGTGTCGACTTTGGGGTTTATGGCAGGGTTTAGGGTTTAGGGTTTAGGGTTTAGGGTTTAGGGTTTAGGGTTTAGGGTTTAGGGTTTAGGGTTTAGGGTTTAGGGTTTAGGGTTTAGGGTTTAGGGTTTAGGTTTAGGGTTTAGGGTTTAGGGTTTAGGGTTTAGGGTTTAGGGTTTAGGGTTTAGGGTTTAGGGTTTAGGGTTTAGGGTTTAGGGTTTAGGGCTTTGGCTCGCTTGCACCCGAGATGTCGCGAGCAGGGTCCGGGGTTCCTTTATACTGGAGAGACACCTGACAGCGGAAGAGCCTCGAACACAACAATCTTGCACTGCGGTTTAGGGTTTAGGGTTTCGGGTTTAGGCTTAGGGCTTCTTATGACGCCTTGATCCCGGCAGCGCGCAACTTGTCGTTCAATGCTCAACCTTTTGTGAGCTATTTGTGACGCCCCTGTAGAGGGTTTAGTGTTGCCCTTGCAGGGGGTCTAGGCCTTAGGGTTTAGGAGGGTTAGGGTTTCCCCTAAGTTGCCCTGAGTCCAAAACCCCAAAAATGCTCAACCCTCTTCGACCCCACACATGATCCGAATGCCCACCGAAAAAGCCCGGGAGACGCAAGTGCCCAGGGCGCACCTTTCAATCTAGATCAAATCATTACTCTTTGCTGAGAACCCCCCCCCCCCCCCCCCCCCCCCCCCCCCAAAACAAAAACAACAAAATGAAATCCCCACCCTCTCCGGGGTTGGGCACTCTGGGGTTGGGCACTCCAAGGACACTCTGGGGTTGGGAACTCCAGGGATGAGCGAGGGCGAGGAGAAGAGTTCCGGGTGAGGAGAAGAGTTGAGGTTAAAATCTAACAACCCCACACCGATGGTGGGGAAAAACAATATATATATATATATATATATATTATATTTTTCCTTGTAAGGGTAATAGCGGGGTTGTTTTTTGGGAGACGGTTCTGAAGCAAGCAGTAGATTTGATGCTTAGATTCTAGACGAGTTTGGAACTTACGGTTGTTCACAGAGGCCTACGGCTAATGAGGATCTCGTACTCGAGAAAACCCTACTGCAATCAAGAAAAAGCACTCAAAACCTGCGTCTTTACGACGCCAACCGCGACTTCCATTGCGGGGGACCTTAGGGTTTAGGGTATAGGGTGGAGTCCGGAAACCTGAGGATTGCACGCTGTGCGGACACAGACGGCGTCTTGGTGCTTTGTAACATTTGTGCTAAGTTTCTAAAGGCGCGCAGCTTCTTTTCAGCGGTCTGCGCTGCTGTGGCAGGTTTGCGATCTCATGTGCCCACAAAATTCACACCCCTAGACGAGACACCCCGCACTTACATCTGCACCCAATATGCCTGTGACTACTATGCGTGTCCTGAGTATTGTGTATCCGTGAATCTGTTGCTCAACAGCACCAGTAGCGCCGGCTGCGCAAGGGCCTGCCTGCAAGCTCAGACCCCGCCGACTTTGAACTTGAGTTTGCATGGTCTTACGCAGAAACTCACGATGTTCGCGCGGCCACATCGTCAAGGAACAGGTCCAGCCACGCGAAGAGAGGCTCGTCAATGCCGACTTGAGTTTTGCTCGAGACTGCAAAAAAAGGCCAGCCTCTGTGCCTTGCGAGCTGCTCGGCCTCCTCTTCAGTCACCTCTGGATCCGCAACGTCTGAATGCGTGGCCACCAAACAGACTCGTCGGCAACACTCGGCCTCAACTGCCTCGGTTTCTTCAAACATGCGCAAGACCTCGTTCAGGGTTTCCCGAAAGCGAAGCGAGAAGAACAGCATCAGTCCAGCCGCTCCCCTGCAAAACACTCTCGTGGCTACCGCGTAATTGTAACATAAACGTAGCTCCCGACCGGTGTCCCAGAGTTGTATCTTGAGCTTAGTTCCATCCGCTGACTGCAGGCGCAAAGTCTTTAAATCCGCGCCACTTGTTGGCCTGTAGCTCTCCGCAAAGCTTTCACGGCTGAACGCTCGTGTCCAGGAAGTCTTGCCGACCGCTCCACCACCCATGAGAACACACTTAACCACGTGGTGCTGCGTGTCCGGCGTGTTCCGATCGTCAGACCATGGAGTGTAGCGGCCAGGTGGGTTTCGGACAAGGCACAAAGAATCCTCCTCAGTCAGGTTCAGTTCTGACAGCCTCGTGCTCTGGTGGACCACCTGCGTGCCGTGCAGCAGCATGAGCCTGCCGTTCCCTCCCCCAGAAAGGGTCTGCAGCACAGACCTAACCGTTCGGCTTCCGGGCAGCTGCTGCTCGAGAGCCACCTCGCCACCTGGGGTCAGGATCCGCACTGGGAGCATTCGATCTGCTCGTGCCCCCGCAAAAATACCGTGCCCGAATGCATAGTGCAGCCACTCCTTCACGTGCTCAAACGAGGCAGTTTGGGCTATGTGCGAAAGACGCTTTCGAGCACCAGCAGATCGTCTGACGATGGCTTGCCATGTCCCAATCCCATGATGCTTGGCTCGGAATGCAGCTAAGGAGAGCAATGTACTGTCAAAAGCAAGACAGCATCTCCAGTACAAAGCAAAGCAATCTTACGGAACAATTTCGGCTCCACTGGCTCCCTAAACCTAAACCCTAAACCCTAGTTTGACTCATTGCAAGAATATTCAACATGCGAACTCTGAAGCCATGCCTATAACGGCTTGCACTTTATGCCGGTAATGAGGCAACGGTTCACCTCCCCTTGGGCCCGATCTACGCCTTGGAAAAGCCTCGAACGCGGTCAACCAATTTACTGCAATAACAAAAAAGAGAAAGAGAGAGAGACAGAGAGAGAGAGAGAGAGAGAGAGAGAGAGAGGGAGAGAGAGAGAGGGAGGGAGGGAGGGAGGGAGGGAGGGGAGGGAGGGAGGGAGAGAGGGAGAGAGAGAGACTCACACGAGCAATATTCTTGGCACAAGCTCCCCTTAGCCTTATTCAAAAGGTCGAAGGAGCGACATGTCTTGAGGGGGTCGGGCCTGCCTCTGCTCATTCTGCGGGCCCGAGGCAGGGCAGGAAACGGACGCTTGAGTTACAAAGCGCCCGGAAACGAACTCGCTCTAACCCTAAACCCTAAACCCTAAACCCCAAACCCTAAACCCTAAACCCTTTTTACGGCTAGGACTGCTGCACTGCATGCCTGGGACGAAACCATGCCATTCGAGAGCGGGCAATGCCTAAACCCTAAACACCACAACCCGGGCAGACTCCTCCTAAGCCCTAAACCCTAAACCCTCAACCCTAAACCCTAAACCCTAAGCCCTAAGCCCTAAACCCTAAACCGTCCGAGCACAAAACCAGGGAGACTGATTGAACTGCCAGGGGAAAGCCGGGGTCCAACCGAGAGCCTCTACCATCCCTTTAGTTTAGGGTTTAGGGTTTGGGGTTTGGGATTTGGGATTTGGGGTTTGGGGTTTGGGGGTTTGGGGTTTGGGGTTTATTGTTTGGGGTTTGGGGTTTGGGGTTTAGGGTTTGGGGTTTGGGGTTTAGGGTTTGGGGTTTGGGGTTTGGGGTTTGGGGTTTAGGGTTTGGGGTTTGGGGTTTGGGGTTTGGGGTTTGGGGTTTAGGGTTTGGGGTTTAGGGTTTAGGGCCCTATAGGGTTTAGGGCTTCGGGTTTCGGATTTAGGGTCCACTTCCTCAACCTTACGGTTGGTTAGTAGGGAATGAGGGAATGAGGTACCCCAAATCCCTCTATATATACCGTTTAAAGGATTCTGCGGGGTACCGCCTTCCTCATTCCCTACTAACAAAAGGCCAGTAAGCAAGCAACCTTTTCGGCGCCGGAAGCGGCGCAGCATCTGCGTCGGCAAGCGGCAGCAGCATAGCGACCGCAGCCCTTCGGACGACAAGGCATCGCGCACCCGGCCGGGCTCGAGCCTGGCCAAAATCGTCCAGGAAAGTCATTGTGGAGGAATTTTAGGGTTGAGGGTTTTAGGGTTTGGGATTCCAGGACATGAGTTGCTAGCGGTGTCAAGCTTCATCACTGGCTTTTTCGGCAGCGCTTAGCTAGGTACAAGCTGTGACTTCAAACCTCATACTTCTACCGATGACAGACCAAGGCATGTTCAAGCAGCCATGGCTGCCAGAACCCATCAGGCAAAACAGCTTTGAACGCACTGGTTGTGAGCGCTGACTTGGGCAGTCGCTGTTCCCTAGCGCTTTGGCCAGCATGAAGTTTGCTACACCAGACCCCCTACCCCCTCCGCAGTACTAGAACTGTTTGAGAATTTGGGAGGGTCCACAATTGTAAACATTTTCCGGACTTTGTGTCTGGGGGGGGGCGGGATTTAGCAGTAGGGGAATTCCGGATGCTGCTGTCAGTGTCTGGCATCTTCCCAAGTCTCCCATATGGTGTACGTTGTTCAGGCCCGTAGCTGTTGTAGTTCTTACTTCCCCAAAGCAGTGCTTGCAGTGTGGGGTGCTTACACTGGGGTCTAGGTTTTTGCGGCGGCGTGCACGACGCGCTTCTTAAGCAGAATCAGAACTAAAGGAGGGGGCGTGGTCAGGGGCGGTAGGGCTTCCATACCAGCTTCATGAACTGAAGGCTTTCAGAAGTTTTTCAAGTGTTCAGTGCCCTTGTTGTGCATGGCTTCTTAGGGTAACCACTGGAAACCCTCCAGCTCCAGGGTTTAGGGTTTAGGAAAACCAAGGGGCAGCCAGGTGCTGCGCCGTGAAGGCCCAACCACAGCGATCGCAACCGCCTCTGTTGGTTGGGGTCTACAGGGCTTCGGGTTGTGCGATGAAGGGTGAACCAGCGTGTTTTAGACACTGCAAGAATACCGTTCAAGAATCATACTTTCAAAGGGCTATTTGGGTGGCTTGCACTCCAACTTATAGCAGGAATTGTGGGGACAAGATGAATCATGTTGCAGGCTTCTGTAATGGATGTATAGTTAGCAGGCGCTACTGCTGGGGTCTGCATCGAAAGATGCCCCACGTACAGTGCTGCGCACCTCTTCCACTTTCATGTACTGACGGGTGTCGACTTTGGGGTTTACGGTAGGATTTAGGGTTTAGGGTTTAGGTCTTAGGGCTTATATGGCTTAGGGTTTAGGGCTTAGGGCTTAGAGTTTTGGCTCGCTTGCACCCGAGATGTCGCGAGCAGGGTCCGGGGTTCCTTTCTGGAGAGACAACTGACAGCGGAAGAGCCTCGAACACAACATGCTTGAGCCGCTTGACCTTGCACTGCGGTTTTGGGTTCAGGGTTTCGGGTTTAGGCTTAGGGCTTCTTATGACGCCTTGATCCCGGCAGCGCGCAACTTGTCGTTCAATGCTCAACCTTTTGTGAGCTACTTGTGACACCCCTGTAGAGGGTTCAGTGTTGCCCTTGCAGGGGGTTTGGGGTTTCCCATAAGTTGCCCTACGTCCAAAACCCAAAAATGCTCTTCGACCCCACACATGATCCGAATGCCCACCGAAAAAGCCCGGGAGAACGCAAGTGCGCAGGGCGCACCTTGTAATCTAGATCAAATCATTACGATTTGCTTAAGAACCCCCCCCCCCCCCCAAAAAAAAAAAAAAAAAACTTCGAACATCCCCACCCTCTCTGGGTAGAGATACTCTGGGGTTGGGCACTCCAGGGACACTCTGGGGTCAGGCACCCCAGGGACACTCTGGATTGTGCACTCCAGTAACACTCTGGGTTGGGCACTGCAAGGACACTCTGGGGTTGGGCACCCCAGGGACACTCTGGGGCTGGGCACTCCAGAAATGAGCGAGGAGCAGACCGGCCGAGGAGAAGAATTCCGGGCGAGGAGAAGAGTTGAGTTTAAAGTCTAACAACCCCACACCGATGGTGGGGAACAACAATACATATATATATATATACATGGATGTATATATATATATATATATATAGTCTTCCTGGTCCTTGTAAGGGTCATAGAGGGATTATTGTTTTTTTTGGAAGCGGTTCTTAAGCAAGCAGTAGATTTGATGCTTAGATTCTAGATGAGTTTGGAATTTACGGTTGTTCACAAAGGCCTAGGGCTAATGAGGATCTCGTACTCGAGAAAACCCTACAGCAATCAAGAAAAACAGCCAAGCTCCCACAGCACATGGAAACCCAGAGCCCTCGGCTCAATGCGTCTTTGCGACGCCAACCGCGACTGCCTCTCAGCGTTTAGGGTTTAGGTTGTAGGGTGGAATCCGGAAACCTGAGGGTTGCACGCTGTGCGGACACAGACGGGGTCTTGGTGCTTTGTAACCCTAAACCCGAAACCCTCTTTGTGATATGTTTCTAAAGGTGCGGAGCTTCTTTTCAGCGGTCCGCGCTGCTGTGGCAGGTTTGAGATGTCATGTGCCCACAAAATCCACACCCCTAGACGAGATACTCCGCATCGTACATCTGCACCCACTATGCCTGTGCCGGCTGCGCAGGGGCCTGCCTGCAAGCTCAGACCCCGCCGACTTTGAACTTGAGTTTGCATGGTCTTACGCAGAAACTCACGATGCTTGTGCGGCCACATCGTCAAGGAACAGGTCCAGCCACGCAAAGAGAGGCTCATCAATGCCAACTTGAGTTTTGTTCGATACCGCAAAGAAAGGCCAGCCTCTGCGCCTTGCGAGCTGCTCGGCCTCCGCTTCAGTCACCTCTGGATCCGCCATGTCTGAATACGTCGCCACCAAACAGACTCGCCGGCAACACTCGGCCTGAGCTGCTTCTGTTTCTTCAAACATTTGCAAGACCTCGTTCAGGCTCTCCCGACTGCGAAGCGAGAAGAACAGCATCAGTCCGGTCGCTCCCCTGCAAAATAATCTCGTGGCTGCCTTGTAACATAAACGTGGCTGCCCACCTTTGTCCCAGAGTTGTATCTTGAGCTTAGTTCCATCTTCTGACTGCAGGCGCAACATCTTGAAATCCGCGCCAATTGTTGGCCTGTAGCTCTGGGTAAAGCTTTCACGGCTGATCGCTCGTGTCCAGGAAGTCTTGCCAACCGCTCCCCCACCCATGAGAACACACTTAACCACGTGGTGCTGCGTGTTCGGCCTGTTCCCATCGTCAGACCATGGAGTGTAGCGGCCAGGTGGGTTTCGGACAAGGCACAAAGAATCCTCCTCAGTCAGGTTCAGTTCTGACAGCCTCGTGCTCTGGTGGACCACCTGCGTGCCGTGCAGCAACATGAGCCTGCCGTTCCCTCCCCCAGAAAGGGTCTGCAGCACAGACCTGACCGTTCGGCTTCCGGGCAGCTGTTGCTCGAGAGCCACCTCGCCAGCCGGGGTCAGGATCCGCACTGGGAGCATTCGATCTGCTCGTGCCCCCGCAAAAACACCGTGCCCGAATGCATAGTGCAGCCACTCCTTCACGTGCTCAAACGAGGCAGTTTGGGCTATGTGCGAAAGACGCTTTCGAGCACCAGCAGATGTGGACACGTCTGACGATGGCTTGCCATGTCCCAATCCGATGATGCTTGGCTCGGAATGCAGACGCTAAGGAGAGCAATGTACTGTCAAAAGCAAGACAGCATCTCCAGTACAAAGCAATCTTGCGGAACAATTTCGGCTCCTCTGGCTCCCAAAACCTAAACCCTAAACCCCAGTTTGACTCATTGCAAGAATATTAAACATGCGAACTCTGAAGCCATGCCTATAACGGCTTGCACTTTATGCCGGTAATGAGGCAAGGGTTCACCTCCCCTTGGGCCCGATCTACGCCTCGGAAAAGCCTCGAACGCGGTCAACCAATTTTCTGCAATAACAAAAAAGAGAAAGAGAGAGAGAGGGAGAGAGAGAGAGAGCTCCCCTTATTCAAAAGGTCGAAGGAGCGACATGTCTTGAGGGGGTCGGGCCTGCCTCTGCTCATTCCGCGGGCGCGAGGCAGGGCAGGAAACGGACGCTTGAGTTACAAAGGGCCCGGAAACGAACTCGCTCTAACCCTAAACCCTAAACCCCAAACCCTAAACCCTTTTTACGGCTAGGACTGCTGCACTGCATGCCTGGGACGAAACCATGCTATTCGAGAGCGGGCAATGCCTAAACCCTAAACACCACAACCCGGGCAGACTCAAACCCTATAAACCCTAAACCCTAAACCCTCAACCCTAAACCCTAAACCCTAAGCCCTAAACCCTAAACCTCAGTCTTGAAGCTGCGGGTCGTCCGAGCACAAAACCAGGGAGACTGATTGAACAGCCAGGGGAAAGCCGGGGTCCAACCGAGAGCCTCTACCATCCCTTTAGTTTAGGGTTTAGGGTTTGGGGTTTGGGATTTGGGATTTGGGATTTGGGGTTTGGGGTTTGGGGATTGGGGTTTGGGGTTTGGGGTTTATTGTTTGGGGTTTGGGGTTTGGGATTTAGGGTTTGGGGTTTGGGGTTTAGGGTTTGGGGTTTGGGGTTTTGGGTTTGGGGTTAGGGTTTGGGGTTTGGGGTTTAGGGTTTGGGGTTTGGGGTTTGGGGTTTAGGGTTTAGGGCACTATAGGGGTTAGGGCTTCGGGTTTCGGAATTAGGGTCCACTTCCTCAACCTTACGGTTGGTTAGTAGGGAATGAGGGAATGAGGTACCCCAAATCCCTCTATATATACCGCTTAAAGGATTCTGCAGGGTACCGCCTTCCTCATTCCCTACTAACAAAAGGCCAGTAAGCAAGCAACCTTTTCGGCGCCAGAAGCGGCGCAGCATCTGCGTCGGCAAGCGGCAGCAGCATAGCGACCGCAGCCCTTCGGACGACAAGGCATCGCGCACCCGGCCGGGCTCGAGCCTGGCCAACATCGTCCAGGAAAGTCATTGTGGAGGAACTGAAAAGGGCGGTTTTAGGGTTGAGGGTTTTAGGGTTTGGGATTCCAGGATTCCAGGACATGAGTTGCTAGCGGTGTCAAGCTTCATCACTGGCTTTTTCGGCAGCGCTTAGCTAGGTACAAGCTGTGACTTGAGTTTATCAAACCTCATACTTCTACCGATGACTCCGATGACAGACCAAGGCATGTTCAAGCAGCCATGGCTGCCAGAACCCATCAGGCAAAACAGCTTTGAAAGCACTGGTTGTGAGCGCTGACTTGGGCAGTCGCTGTTCCCTAGTGCTTTGGCCAGCATGAAGTTTGTCACACCAGACCCCCTACCCCCTCCGCAGTACTAGCACTGTTTGAGAATTTGGGAGGGTCCACAATTGTAAACATTTTCCGGACTTTGTGTCTGGGGGGGGGCGGGATTTAGCAGTAGGGGAATTCCGGATGCTGCTGTCAGTGTCTGGCATCTTCCCAAGTCTCCCATATGGTGTACGTTGTTCAGGCCCGTAGCTGTTGTAGTTCTTACTTCCCCAAAGCAGTGCTTGCAGTGTGGGGTGCTTACACTGGGGTCTAGGTTTTTGCGGCGGCGTGCACGACGCGCTTCTTAAGCAGAATCAGAACTAAAGGAGGGGGCGTGGTCAGGGGCGGTAGGGCTTCCATACCAGCTTCATGAACTGAAGGCTTTCAGAAGTTTTTCAAGTGTTCAGTGCCCTTGTTGTGCATGGCTTCTTAGGGTAACCACTGGAAACCCTCCAGCTCCAGGGTTTAGGGTTTAGGTAAACCAAGGGGCAGCCAGGTGCTGCGCCGTAGAGGCCCAACCACAGCGATCGCAACTGCCTCTGTTGGTTAGGGTCTACAGGGCTTAGGGTTGTGCGATGAAGGGTGCACCAGCGTGTTTAGACACTGCAAGAGTACCGTTCAAGAATCATACTTTCAAAGGGCTATTTGGGTGGCTTGCACTCCAACTTATAGCAGGAATTGTGGGGACAAGATGAATCATGTTGCAGGCTTCTGTAATGGATGTATAGTTAGCAGGCGCTACTGCTGGGGTCTGCATCGAAAGATGCCCCACGTACAGTGCTGCGCACCTCTTCCACTTTCATGTACTGACGGGTGTCGACTTTGGGGTTTACGGTAGGATTTAGGGTTTAGGGTTTAGGTCTTAGGGCTTATATGGCTTAGGGTTTAGGGCTTAGGGCTTAGGGTTTTGGCTCGCTTGCACCCGAGATGTCGCGAGCAGGGTCCGGGGTTCCTTTCTGGAGAGACAACTGACAGCGGAAGAGCCTCGAACACAACATGCTTGAGCCGCTTGACCTTGCACTGCGGTTTTGGGTTCAGGGTTTCGGGTTTAGGCTTAGGGCTTCTTATGACGCCTTGATCCCGGCCGCGCGCAACTTGTAGTTCAATGCTCAACCTTTTGTGAGCTACTTGTGACACCCCTGTAGAGGGTTCAGTGTTGCCCTTGCAGGGGGTTTGGGGTTTCCCATAAGTTGCCCTAAGTCCAAAACCCAAAAATGCTCTTCCACCCCACACATGATCCGAATGCCCACCGAAAAAGCCCGGGAGAACGCAAGTGCCCAGGGCGCACCTTGTAATCTAGATCAAATCATTACTATTTGCTTAAGAACCCCCCCCCCCCCCCCCCCCCAAAAAACAAAAAAAAAAACTTCGAACATCCCCACCCTCTCTGGGTAGAGATACTCTGGGGTTGGGCACTCCAGGGACACTCTGGGGTTAGGCACCCCAGGGACACTCTGGATTGTGCACTCCAGTAACACTCTGGGTTGGGCACTGCAAGGACACTCTGGGGTTGGGCACCCCAGGACACTCTGGGGCTGGGCACTCCAGAAATGAGCGAGGAGCAGACCGGCCGAGGAGAAGAGTTCCGGGCCAGGAGAAGAGTTGAGTTTAAAGTCTAACAACCCCACACCGATGGTGGGGAACAACAATACATATATACATATATATATACATATATATATATATATACATACATGGATGTATATATATATATATATATATATATATATATTATATATAGTCTTCCTGGTCCTTGTAAGGGTCATAGAGGGATTCTTGTTTTTTTTTGGAAGCGGTTCTTAAGCAAGCAGTAGATTTGATGCTTAGATTCTAGATGAGTTTGGAATTTACGGTTGTTCACAAAGGCCTAGGGCTAATGAGGATCTCGTACTCGAGAAAACCCTACAGCAATCAAGAAAAACGGCCAAGCTCCCACACGGCTTTGCGACGCCAACCGCGACTTCCACAATGGGACTGCCTCTTAGGGTTTAGGGTGTAGGGTGGAATCCGGAAACCTGAGGGTTGCACGCTGTGCGGACACAGACGGGGTCTTGGTGCTTTGTAACCCTAAACCCGAAACCCTCTTTGTGCTATGTTTCTAAAGGCGCGGAGCTTCTTTTCAGCGGTCCGCGCTGCTGTGGCAGGTTTGAGATGTCATGTGCCCACAAAATCCACACCCCTAGACGAGATACTCCGCATCGTACATCTGCACCCACTATGCCTGTGCCGGCTGCGCAGGGGCCTGCCTGCAAGCTCAGACCCCGCCGACTTTGAACTTGAGTTTGCATGGTCTTACGAGAAACTCACGATGCTTGTGCGGCCACATCGTCAAGGAACAGGTCCAGCCACGCAAAGAGAGGCTCATCAATGCCAACTTGAGTTTTGTTCGATACCGCAAAGAAAGGCCAGCCTCTGCGCCTTGCGAGCTGCTCGGCCTCCGCTTCAGTCACCTCTGGATCCGCCATGTCTGAATACGTCGCCACCAAACAGACTCGCCGGCAACACTCGGCCTGAGCTGCTTCTGTTTCTTCAAACATTTGCAAGACCTCGTTCAGGCTCTCCCGACTGCGAAGCGAGAAGAACAGCATCAGTCCGGTCGCTTCCCTACAAAATAATCTCGTGGCTGCCTTGTAACATAAACGTGGCTGCCCACCTTTGTCCCAGAGTTGTATCGTGATCTTAGTTCCATCCTCTGACTGCAGGCGCAAAGTCTTTAAAGCCGCGCCAATTGTTGGCCTGTAGCTCTCCGCAAAGCTTTCACGGCTGAACGCTCGTGTCCAGGAAGTCTTGCCAACCGCTCCACCACCCATGAGAACACACTTAACCACGTGGTGCTGCGTGTCCGGCGTGTTCCCATCGTCAGACCATGGAGTGTAGCGGCCAGGTGGGTTTCGGACAAGGCACAGAGAATCCTCCTCAGTCAGGTTCAGTTCTGACAGCCTCGTGCTCTGGTGGACCACCTGCGTGCCGTGCAGCAACATGAGTCTGCCGTTCCCTCCCCCAGAAAGGGTCTGCAGCACAGACCTAACCGTTCGGCTTCCGGGCAGCTGTTGCTCGAGAGCCACCTCGCCAGCCGGGGTCAGGATCCGCACTGGGAGCATTCGATCTGCTCGTGCCCCCGCAAAAACACCGTGCCCGAATGCATAGTGCAGCCACTCCTTCACGTGCTCAAACGAGGCAGTTTGGGCTAGGTGCGACAGACGCTTTCGAGCACCAGCAGATGTGGACACGTCTGACGATGGCTTGCCATGTCCCAATCCCATGATGCTTGGCTCGGAATGCAGACGCTAAGGAGAGCAATGTACTGTCAAAAGCAAGACAGCATCTCCAGTACAAAGCAAAGCAATCTTACGGAACAACTTCGGCTCCACTGGCTCCCTAAACCTAAACCCTAAACCCTAGTTTGACTCATTGCAAGAATATTAAACATGCGAACTCTGAAGCCATGCCTATAACGGCTTGCACTTTATGCCGGTAATGAGGCAACGGTTCACCTCCCCTTGGGCCCGATCTACGCCTCAGAAAAGCCTCGAACGCAGTCCACCAATTTTCTGCAATAATAAGAGAGAGAGAGAGAGAGAGAGAGAGGGAGAGAGAGGCAAGCAATATTCTTGGCACAAGCTCCCCTCAAGCAAAAGGTCGAAGGAGCGACATGTCTTGGTGGGGTCGGGCCTGCCTCTGCTCATTCCGCGGGCTGGCGCGAGGCAGGGCAGGAAACGGACGCTTGAGTTACAAAGGGCCCGGATACGAACTCGCTCTACCCCTAAACCCTAAACCCCAAACCCTTTTTACGGCTAGGACTGCTGCACTGCATGCCTGGGACGAAACCATGCCATTCGAGAGCGGGCAATGCCTAAACCCTAAACACCACAACCCGGGCAGACTCCTCCTAAACCCTATAAACCCTAAACCCTAGACCCTAAACCCTAAGCCCTAAACCCTAAACCCCAAACCCTAAACTCTAAACCCTAAACCTCAGTCTGAAAGCTGCGAAACCAGGGAGACTGGTTGAACTGCCAGGGGAAAGCCGGGGTCCAACCGAGAGCCTTTAGGGTTTAGGGTGTAGGGTTTGGGGTTTGGGGTTTGGGGTTTAGGGTTTAGGGTTTTAGGGTTTAGGGTTTAGGGCCCTATAGGGTTTAGGGCTTAGGGTTTCGGATTTAGGGTCCACTTTCTCAACCTTACTGTTGGTTAGTAGGGAATGAGGGAATGAGGTACCCCAAATCCCTCTATATATACCGTTTAAGGGATTCTGTAGGGTACCGCCCTCCTCATTCCCTACTAACAAACGGCCAGTAAGCAAGCAACCTTTCCGGCGCCAGAAGCGGCGCAGCATCTGCGTCGGCAAGCGGCAGCAGCATAGCGACCGCAGCCCTTCGGACGACAAGGCATCGCGCACCCGGCCGGGCTCGAGCCTGGCCAACATCGTCCAGGAAAGTCATTGTGGAGGAACTGAAAAACGCAGTTTTAGGGTTGAGGGTTTTAGGGTTTGGGCAGGACATGAGTTGCTAGCGATTTCAAGCTTCATCACTGGCTTTTTCGGCAGCGCTTAGCTAGATAAAGGCTCACACTTCTACCGATGACAGACCCGGGCATGTTCAAGCAGACACCCCTAAACCCTAAACCCGAAACCCTAAACCTTAAACCCTAAACCCTAAGACACCCTAAACCCGAAACCCGAAACCCAAAGCCCTAAACCATGGCTGCCAGAACGCCTCAGGCAAAACAGCTTTGAAAGCACTGGTGGTGAGCGCTGACTTGGGCAGTCGCTGTTCCCTAGTGCTTTAGGGTTTAGGGTTTAGGGTTTAGGGTTTAGGGTTTCGGGCTTTTGGCCCGCATGCTTCACAAGCGCCGTGAAGTTTGTTGCACCAGACCCCCTACCCCCTCCGAACACCAGCCCAGCACTAGAACTCTTTGAGACTTAGGGAGGCTCTTGACTTTTTGTGGCTTTGTGTTGGGAGGGGGGGGGGTGTTAGCAGTAGGGGAAGCGATTCTTGCGGATGGTGCCCTTGTTGCATGGGGTGACCACTGAAACCCCTCCAGCCCCAGGGAAACCGAGGGGCAGCCAGGTGCTGCGCCATGGAGGCCAAACCACAGCGATCGCAACCGCCTCTGTTAGTTCGGGTTCAGGGTGCAAGGTTTAGGGGTTCCGTTCATGCACCAGATCCATGTGGCACTGTAGCTTTCCTAAATGAGGGCCCCTTTCGGGTACCTATAACAACGCACGGGCCCCGGGATTTTAAGGTAAGAAAAGGGACCCTCATTTGCAGAACTGGCCATGTGTCGGCTGGGGGTGCAGCAGGCTTTGAGGCTTTGGGGAATTGGGGTGTTTATGGTTTAGTCAGGCTCTTCCCTACTACCCCACCCCCCCCCCTAAGTTCCGGGGGAACCTAGGGGGGGCTAGTGTGTGAGGGGAACCCACGACTTACGGTCTAACCCTAAACCCTAAACCCTCCTAAACCCTAAATCCTAAACCTAAACCCGGGAAGCCATGACTTAGGGGCCTGGGCATCGGGGGTGCTTTGGTGAGGGTTTTCGGGGCATTGGGTCGGATATAGGGTTTAGGGTTTAGGGTTTAGGGTTTTAGGGTTTGGGGTCTAGGGTTTAGGCACCCCCTTCTGAGTCCAACCCTTTGAGGCATTACCCGCGTGCACCCAAGACATGCAACCTTTTAAAGTGAGCAGTCCCCTGATCTTCAGCAACCAGGCTGACGCAGTTTGCAGGCTTTGGGGTTTAGGGTTTAGGGTTTAGGGAAACCTCCCAAGTGTATGCACCTGTGAGCACTGACCGATGTGTACTTCACCATGCAAGTCCTACAAAGGCTTCGGAAGTCGCTCTGACTCAGCGCAGCTGCGCCTGGAGAGCCCATCCGTGTGACTGCAACCACGCAGCAGTATCAAACCATACCAAGCTTGCCGAAGGAAAACACCCTAAACCCTAAACCCTAAACCCTAAACCCTAGAACCCGAGAACCCTAGAACCCTAGAACCCTGGAACCCTAGAACCCTGAATCCTGTAAACCCTAAACCCTAAACCCTAGAACCCTAGAACCAAAAACGCCCCAGGCCTCCAGGCGGTGAGACGGCAACCAGCCGAAGATGCGGGAGTCCTCTCGTGCGCGAAGTTGGGCCCCTTAATACCCTCTGAAACATCTTTATAGGGTTGAGTTCAAGAGTTCTCCCTTTAGAACCCTATAAAGACTTGGTAGCTGAGTGGGAACACTTTACTCTTGTAGGATACCATAATCCCGTATAGAACGGAAAGGGTACACTTTTGGGGGGCTTATGAACTCAGCAGCTAACCCTAAACCCTAAACCCTAAACCCTGAACACTAAACCCTAAACCCTAAACCGTAAGGGTTTAGGGCTTGTGTCGGAGGTGACTAAAGCTACCACTCTCAGTCGCCACTGCCAGCGCCAGCCCACTTGACCAACCCCCCAAAACCGATCCGCATCCCCCCCTACTTTAGGGTGTAGGGTTTCGGGTTTAGGGTTAGTCCCTTAGGGCTTGTGCAATCGCCAGAGAATATTCAAGGGCTCGAAAAGCTTCCCCCCCGCAATCCAAAATCCTTTTTTTCCATCCGGGCTTGGGCAAGCCCTAAACCGTCGACTCTAACCGTCTAACCAAACTTTGAACTCAACCCTGTTCTTGGCAGGCCAGTAAGGGCATCCCTTTCCTGGGGTTGGTTCCTTTATACGCGAACACTAGCCCAAAACTCTAACAATGTGAACAGGTATTCGCCAAGTAGGCAGAGGAACAGCTTAGGACGTGTCCTCGGAGAGCATGGCGTTGTCGCCTTCAACCCAGCACCTCTGGGGGGGGGGGGGGGGGGCGGGGTTACACTCTTGGCGCAGGGTCGGACAGGGTTTAGGGTTTAGTTTTGACGAGTTTGGGGTTAAGGGTTTAAGGTTCTTCTTGTTTTGCCACCCGCCAAGCACACACGCCACACTGCATGGTAACATTTCGGGATGATTGACCAGCGTTCCGATTTACGGGAAATGCCGACGCGAAGCCTGTGATATCAATCCTCCCACCAAACCTCTCAGCAGATTTGCTTCTAGTCCAAGTTCCCCCTTCCCGTGCAAGTGTTATCATGATTCGGAAAAAAAACTGAAGTGTTATTAACCACAGCTATTCCCTGGGAAGCAGTTGTCTCGTCCTATATCATGACACCTTTACGTCAACAGGGGCTCTACCTCGATGCCTCTGCATTGCCAACAACAACAGGGTACGACCAGTGCTAGGATCGCACAACTGCCCCAGGTAATGCCCAACTGTCGTTGTGGGGACTAAACCCTAAACCCTAAACCCTAAACCCTAAACCCTAAACCCTAAACCCTAAACCCTAAACCCTAAACCCTAAACCCTAAACCCTAAACCCTAAACCCTAAACCCTAAACCCCAAACCCTTACCGATTTGTCGAGTCGTGGCCCTCATAGCTTTGCTGAGTGCCGTCTTGCACTTCTCAGCTCTCCATATTCTTGCCCTAGCCGCCGGTTCAATACTCACTGTACCTATAACCCAATTCTAGCCATCTCAGGGCACTTAAGGGCCTTAGAAGTGGAGTTATGAGTACAGTTATAAGGCTTCATAAGTACCATGAACCTCCAAGTTACAGGGCTTAGGGTTTTATAGGCTTTCGGGTAGAAGGCGGGGGGGGGGGGGGGGAGAGTTTAGAGAGCTACTCAGAGAGCCCTTAAAACCCTTAGTTAAGGGATAGACCTTAAACCACATTAACGATCCCTATATAGTTCAATGTATATTCCTGATTCAAACTCTTTGGGTGCAAAGCTCATTCTTAAAGTAATTATATTGCTCTTTGGGTAAAAAGGTAATCGAAAAACCACGTGGCCGAGTGTCATCTCTGCGCAACACCTCTCGCAGCTTGAGAATCTGATGCCGCCCTGAAACTCAGTCGCTATGCGCGAGTTGGATTTGGGGACCCTCTATTCACCTTCTATAGGGGTTATGTAGGGATAAGGGGCCATAGAAAATGAAAGAAACATGATTCCAGTCAACCTCAGCCCAATACTCTTAAGCCTCAATCCCGAAACCCTAACCCTAAACCCAAAACCCCAAACCCCGAAAATGCTGAGCTCTAAACCCTAAACCGAAACCCTAAACCCGAAACCCGAAACCCCGAAAATGCTCAGCTCCCAGCCAGCCACGCAAGCTACTGAGTGGCTGCAGTGTCCAATCATCGTGGCACTTGGCGAAAACCGTCGGGGCCTGCATTCTCCAGCGACTTCTGCAGGGTTTAGGGTTTAGGGTTTAGGGTTTAGGGTTTAGGGTTTAGGGTTTAGGGTTTAGGGTTTAGGGTTTAGGGTTTACGGTTTAGGCCGATTGAATTTGAGAGCGGGTTGTTTAGGGAATGCAGACCGAAGTCTGTGCGATGAAGGTGAGTCAGCGTGTTTTTCTGTACACTCGCAAGAATACCATTCAAGAATCATACTTTAGAATGGACTATTTGGGTACCATTCAAGAATCATACTTTAGAATGGACTATTTGGGTGGTTGCACTCCAACTATAGCAGGGATGGGGGGACAAGATGAGTCATGTCGTAGGCTTCTGTACTGGATGTCGAACAGTTGCTTAAACGAACCCATAAGAACCCCGGATATATGTCCTATAAGACAGAAACCCTACTTAAAGAGACCACCGAGCCCTATAAAGTATAAGCAGTCGCCCTGCAGGCGCTGCTGCTTTTGGGACTGCATCGAAAGATGCCCGACGTACAGTGCTGCGCACCCCTTCCACTTTCATGTGCTGTCAGGTGTCGACTTTGGGATTTATGGTAGGGTTTAGGGTTTAGGGTTTAGGGTTTAGGGTTTAGGGTTTATAAGGGTTAGGGGTTAGGGGTTAGGGGTTAGGGTTTAGGGTTCAGGGTTTAGGTTTAGGCTGTAGGGTTTTGGGTCTCGGGTCTAGGGTTTAGGTTTTGGCTCGCTTGCACCCGAGACGTCACGAGCAGGCACGGGGGTTGCATTCCCGAAACCCTAGACCTTAAACCCTAAACCCTAAATCCTGGAGAGACAACTGACAGCAGAAGAGCCTCGAACACAACGTGCTTGAGTCGCTTGACCTTGCACTGCGGTTTCGGGTTTAGGGTTTAGGTTTTTGGCTTCTTATATGACACCTTGATCCCAAAAAACCCTAAATGCGCTCAACCTTTTGTGAGCTCTTTGGGTATTACACCTGTAGGGGGTTTAGTGTTGCCCCTGCAGGGGGTTTAGGGTCTAGGGTTTAGGGGGTTTAGGGTTTCCCCTAAGTTGCCCCAAATCTCCGAAGCCCAAAAACGCTCAACCCTCTTCGGCCCCACACATGATCCGAGTGTCCACCGAGAAAGCCCGAGGGACGCAATTGCCCACGGCGCCAACAAATTTCCCGTTAATCTAGATTTGCTGAAGCAACCCCCTACAAAATAAGACATGTTCTTCTTCTTTTTATTCTTCTTCTTTTTCGGGGGGTTATCATTCTGCATGTTTGGGGGGGGGGGTTCGTAAGCAAACAGTAGATTTGATGCTTAGATTCTAGATCTTACGGTTGTTCACAAAGGCCTACGACTCATGAGGATCTCGTACTCGCGAACACCCTACGGCAATCAAAAAGAAAACAGCCAAGCTCCCACAGCAGATGGAACTCCAGAGCCCTCGGCTCAAAACCTGCGTTTTGGCGACGCCAACGGTGACTTCCATTGTCTGCCCAATTATGCCTGTGACTACTACTAATACTAATAATGAGAATAATCATAATCATAATCATAATAGTCATAATAGTAATCAAAATAATAACATAGTAATAATGATGATGATAATAATCATAACCACAATAACAATAACAACAATAATAATAATAATAACAATAATAATATCTACCCGTGTCGTAACTATCATGACTATTGTGTATCCGTGGATCTGTTGCGCAAACCCGCGCCAGAAATCAACAGCACCAGTCGCGCCGGCTGTGCAAGGGCCTGCCTGCAGGCTCAGACCCCTGCCGACTTGAAGTTGAGTTATCCTAAACCCTAAACCCTAAGGCCTAAACCTCATGAACCCTAAACCAAATCCCTACTTGCGTTGCTTGTGCGGCCACATCGTCAAGGAACAGGTCCAGCAACGCGAAGAGTGGCTCATCGATGCCAACTTGAGTTTTGTTCGGGAATGCAAAAAAAGGCCAGCCTTTCTGCCTTGCGAGCTGTTCGGCCTCCTCTGCAGACACCTCTGGATCCGCGATGTCTGCATGCGTGGCCACCATGCAGACATGTCGACAAAATTTGGCTCGAGCTTGTTCTGCACTTGCAAAAAGCTGCAAGGCCTCATTCAGGGTCTCCCGATTGTCAAGCGAGAAGAACAACATCAGTCCCGACACTCCATTAAAATATGCATCGCAGAAGAGCATGTCCCGTACCACCTCAACTTGAAACAGCTGCATGATGAACCTGGACCCGTCCTCCTAGGTTGCCCAGTAACCTAGGCTTAAAAAGGGTGCCCTTTTTTTTGCTTCAAGGGTTTATAAGGGAACCTAACCCCCAAAAAAAGGGAATAAGGGTACTGCTGGGCATTCTAGCCTCTGACTGCAGGCGCGACGACAAAACTCCAATGTCCACATCGTCAACGTAGAGGTCCTTGAAGCCTTCCCGGCAGCACGCCCGTATCCACGAAGTCTTGCCAGCCCCTGCACCCCCTGCAACAAAACACTTCGCCCAGTGGTGCTGCGTGTCCTCTTCGTCGTACCAGGGAGTGTAGGTGCCGGTAGGCTTTCGGACAAGGTACAAGGAAGACTCCTCAGTAAGGTTCAGTTCTGACAGCTTCCTGCTCCGCGGGACTATCTCGGTGCCGTGCAGCAGCGTGAGTCTGCCGGGTCTTCCATCAGAAAGGGTCTGCAGCAGAGACCTAACCGTTCGGCTTCCGGGCAGCTGCTGCTCGAGAGCCACCTCACCGGCCGGGGTCAGGATCCGCACTGGGAGCATCTTGTCGGGATCTGAAAAACTCCGCTTGCTCCACGCGAGCAACGAAGGCCTGCCTTGCCCCAACCCCATGATGCCTCGAATGCACAAGGCCCACTGAGGAGTAACGAGGACACTGATAGACAGAGAAAGAGAGTGAGACCGAGAGAGAGAGAGAGAGAGAGAGAGAGAGATGAAAGTTATCGTGAACAAAAGCTGACAGGACAAGGAAAGCTGCCTAGCTAACAGCCAGCAACTCAGCCAACGCTGAGCCCAAAATGCGATGTCGGAACACTGAGAAGATCTACCTTTGAATCTACAGACCCGGCCCGAAGCAGCTTTTGACCCTGCTACAGTAACACCTCCCTCAAGAAACGGGTTCAGGCTTCACTGTGAAAGCTTATAGAGCCCACTAGATAGGACTTCGGATTTGGGACTAGCGCTTCCCGAAGCGCGCCAAAGCTCAAAGTCCAGTCCCGCATGTCCCTAGGGCTCCAGGTATGGGCCCGTAATTCGGGTCCCTTGTTCTGTAACTCTGAAACTTCGGATCCGTATAAACAAGGGAATACTCATGGCCCATGATTCCAACCATCAAGGGTTCAGGGTGCAGGGTTCGACGTACACAGTGCGGATCCGGATGCTGCTAGGGCTTTGGCCATCACACATGCAGCAGGGCACCGGGTCCCCTGCGAAAATCTTGATGCTTGGGTAGCTCTCTCAATTAGGGTGTCTTTTGGGTCACACACATAGTACGGTACCCTTCATACCCTAACACAGCTTGCACCCAGAACTCGATACAGGGTTTGGGGTTGCTTGGGGTCTTGGTGCTTTGTGTGTGTGTGTTTAAGTTTATAAAGGCCAGCCAGAAGCCTTTCTTCTGCGATCGGCACTGCAGTGGCAATTTTGAGATGTCATGCGCCCACAACAGTATAGAGACCCTGGACTTACATCTGCAGCATCTAGCCCATGAGTACTATGCGTGTCGTGACCATCATGACTATTGACTATTGTGTATCCGTGACTCTGTTGCGCAAACCTCCGCCGAAAATCAACAGCACCAGTCGCGCCGGCTGTGCAAGGGCCTGCCGGCAGGCTCAGACCCCTGCCGACTTGAAGTTGAGTTTGCATGGTCTTATGCAGAACTCAGGTTGCTTGTGCGGCCACATCGTCAAGGAACAGGTCCAGCCACGCGAAGAGAGGCTCATCAATGCCAACTGAGGTTTTGTTCGATACCGCAAAGAAAGGCCAGCCTTTCTGCCTTGCAAGCTGCTCGGCCTCCTCTTCAGTCACCTCTGGATCCGCAACGTCTGAATGCGTGGCCACCAAGCAGACGCGTCGGCAACACTCGGCCTCAATTGCTTCGGCTGTTTCTTCAAACATTCGCAAGACCTCGTTCAGGGTCTCCCGACTGCGCATCGAGAAGAACAGCATCAGTCCGGCAGCTCCCCTGCAAAATGCTCTCGTGACTGCCTTGTAACATAAACGTGGCTGTCCGCCGGTGTCCCAGAGTTGTATCTTGACCTTGGTTCCATCCCCTGTCTGCAGGCGCAAAACCTTGAATTCCGCGCCAATTGTTGGGCTGTAGCTCTCCGCAAAGCTTTCACGGCTGAACGCTCGCATCCAGGAAGTCTTGCCGGCCGCTCCACCACCAATGAGAAGACACTTGACCAAATGGGGTTGCATGTCCGTGTTCCCATCCTCAGACCATGGAGTGTAGCGTCCAGGTGGGTTTCGGACAAGGCACAAGGAATCCTCCTCAGTTAGGTTCAGTTCTGATAGCCTCGTGCTCTGGTCGACCACCTGCGTGCCGTGCAGCAACGTGAGTCTGCTGCTCCTTCCTCCGGAAAGGGTCTGCAGCACAGACCGCACCGTTCGGCTTCCGAGCAGCTGTTGCTCGAGAGCCACCTCGCCAGCCGGGGTCAGGATCCGCACTGGGAGCATTTGATCTGCTGGCTTTCCACGTGCCCCCGCAGAAACTATGTGCGAAATACGCCTTCGAGCACCAGCACATATGGACGCGTCTGACGATGACTTGCCATGTCCCAATCCCATGATGCTTTGCTGGGAATGAGCCCGCTAAGGAGAACAACGTACTGCCAAAAAGCAAAACAGCATCTCTAGTGTAACGCAAAACGATCTTACGGAACAGTTCCAGCCCCACTAGGTCACTAGTTTGTAGTGAATGATAGACATGCAACCTCTCTGAAGCCATGCTTACAATTGCAACCCTAAACCCTAAACCCCAAACCCTAAACCCGAAACTGCCTTCTATGCCGGTAGCGTGGCAAAAATCTACCGATCCTTGAGTCCCGTATCCGCGCCGGGTTCCCGTTCTCTGCAACAGTTCTGCAACTGTCTTAGGGTTTAGGGCTAGGCGGGGCCATAACAGACCCACTCGTTTTCGGCAGTTTAGCTCTGTTGCCCTCAGAATCCCCTGCAAATACCGATGTTTCCTGGGTTTCGCCCATCACCTCATCCCCGCAGTTTTTATCCAAAATCATCCTGCAATTTTTTTGGCATCCGTAGACTGCACTGGAATTTGTGGTTTTTTTGCACTACTTCGCACTTTCGACGTGTCCTAAACTAAGCCCTGTCTTGCTTGCTTGCATCCGCTTCTGCCAAACCCTGGGTCTAAATAACACGTTTGCTTCACCATAGTTAGAAGAGAGCATCCATGGCCCAACCATGATGACGTCCATAGTCTAATCCGTTCTAGGAAGAGAGTATCCATGGCCCAAGCATGATGACGTCCATGGTCTACATGTTTTCGCACTGCCATGGCCCAACCATGATGACGTCCATGGTCTACTCCGTTCTGGGAAGAGAGCATCCAGGGTCCAAGCATGATGACGTCCATGGTCTATTCTGCTCTGATGAGAAGAGAGCATCCATGGCCCAAGCATGATGACGTCCCTGGTTTGCATCGTCTAATCCGTTCCGAGAAGGTTAAACCTTCTTCTGGGCAGAAATGGCTGGAAGGTTTTGCTTTTAGGCGCACTGGGCACTGGGAGCAGAAAGGCGTCATTTCTCAACACTAAAGGCGGTGACCTAAGTCCTGCATCTCAGGTTTGCTGGTGGGACCACAGTTTTGCGCGGGTCTGTTGTGGACCCGCCAGGGTTTAGGGTTTAAGGTTTAGGATTGTTTTTTTGGGGTTTAGGGTTTAGGGTTTATGGTTGGGATGTTCCCCCTTATACTAACAATCCTTAATAGGGATTATCGTGCCCCTAATATAATCCCCCTCAAGGACCGCTAGTATTAGGGGGAACATCCCATTGCATGTGAATAGCTGGCCGCAGCATATGAAGATCAGCCACTAGTATAGCTAGTGGAGTCAGTGCGCGGACGACGTTGGCAACACCTAAACTTTCAGAATAATATGCAACAGTACGAGAATTCGAAAAACAAAACAACAACAAAACACTTCAGAACAACAGAACATTGGCATCACACGATAGTAGAATCATTTAGTAACACAAAAAGTGTAATAAAGACAAAAGATACTACAAGAAAATTGGTCATCATGGGAAGAATAACCGTAAGAGCACTAATTTATAACAAGATTACCGGCCCTCGGAAGGGGATCTCTCTCTGGAGACCTCAAAACCTCCAGCTACCCCGACCCTCAACTTCCTCCACGAGCCCTCGGAATGCTCGGGGCGGCGCCATGCGGCCGCTTTCGTCCACCAGCAGCACGATGTCGCCAGTCTGCGGTATGAGGTGGACCTTGCACCCGGCGAATCTTGGTTGTTTTGTGGGTTTAGGGTTTAGGGTTTAGGAGTTTAGGGTTTAGGGTTTAGGGTTTAGGGTTTAGGGTTTAGGGTTTAGGGTTTAGGGTTTAGGGTTTAGGGTTTAGGGTTTAGGGTTTAGGGTTTAGGGTTTAGGTGATGAGTCTCGCCGAGGCATTTTTAAGTGGAAGCTCTGCTACCATCTCCTATTCTCACACCTTTGCTTTCTTTCTAGGGGGCGACCCCCTTTCCCCCCTCACTTTGGGAACGTATTCGCTGTCAGTCCCCTGATTATGCAGATGATGTGCCCTCCTGCAACTCCGTCACGAAACCTCCTAAACCCTAAACCCTAAACCCTAAACCCGAAACCCCGAACCCTAAACCCCAAACAAACCCCAAACCCCAAACCCCCACTCCAGGGGCAATCTGCACTCTGTCCCGGGCCCTAAAGGGTACTCCAAGGGCACTCTCACGGTGCAGGAAGTGCCGCAAGCGAGGGCCCCTGAATCTTGGGGTTTAGGGTTTAGGGTTTAGGTTTAGGGTTTAGGGTTTAGGGTTTAGGGTTTAGGGTTTAGGGTTTAGGGTTTAGGGTTTAGTGGGGGCAAAGTAGCTGATATAACGGCCTTAGCGGTGCTTCTTCGGAAAAAACTCCTCCCACGCACCCCCGCAGAAACCCTCAACCTGCACACCGGAGGGAACTCTAAGCTCCTATAAGCTTGATATACATAAACCCTGAACCCTAAACCCTAAACCCTAGACCCTATAAACCCTATAAACCCTGTACACCCTAAACCCTAAACCCTAAACCCTATAAACCCTAAACCTCAACGAGTTGAAGGCTCAAGAGCTCCCCCAAACAACCCTTTGAACAAATCCGAGGGTTGCGCGGACTTCCCAGGTCGCAACCCCACGATGAGGTCGCTCTCCTCCGAAAGTTGACCCTAAACCCTAAACCCTAAACCCTAAACCCTAAACCCTAAAACCTAAACCCTAAACCCTAAACCTCATGTTGGCTGTACGTATTGGTAGTTCTCTAAGTTGAGGTCCCTTTTTGGGGGTCCTGACACCTTAGAATGAGCACCCCACAAGGGACCCTAATTTAGAACACTACCCATATGTATGCATGACCCTAAACTCCCTCAACTTTATACCCTAGATAGAAGTGTTTTTTTTTGCTCCGTCTCTCTAAGCTGAAAGAAGGGAACTCTCCCAAAGCACAACCCTAAACCCTAAACCCTAAACCCTAAACCCTAAACCCTAAACCCTAAACCCTAAACCCTAGGAGGAGTCTGGAGGTCGGAAGAGCAGCCGAGGCTCACAAAGCCCAGGGCCTCCCCGCAAGGTCCTGCCACGTCAGGAGTCTGGGATTCTCTGTTGGGCTTCGGTTCGGGTTTAGGGTTTTGGGTTTAGGGTTTGGGGTTTAGGGTTTAGGGTTTGAGGTTTAGGGTTTAGGGTTCGGGGTTGAGGGCTTGGGGTTGAGGGTGTTTGGGCTAAAAAGGCTTTTTGATGACAGGTCATATGAAACGGGGGAAGCGAAGCCTGCAACCCAGAGTGCCAGGTCTGCGGATGAAGGGTTTAGGGTTTAGGGTTTAGGGTTTAGGGTTTAGGGTTTAGGGTTTAGGGTACCATGTGGCAAGTGGAGGGGGGGGGTGCTCTTCAATGGCCTCAGGAACGAACTCTATAAACCGGGCAGAACCTGTGCTTGAAACCCTAAACCCTAAACCCTAAACCCTAAACCCCAAAAAGATTTCGTGCTTTCAGGCGTTCAGGGTCGTGGCTTGGAGAATCCTACGAATCGCTATGTCTAGCCCCCTTCCCCTTTTGCAACTGGACTTCTTGCTGCTATAACCGCCCCACCCACACACAAGGAAGAAACACATCGCAAGGGACCTCATAGACATGGGCCCCCGTTAAAGGTGTTTAAGACATGAAGTTCATGCCATGTGATCCACGCTCAATGAGCTGGGTGCCGTCAGGGGCTTCACCCTGGAAGCGACATTTGGTGTCCGGAAACAAATATAGGGGCCTGCATTAATTCGAATAGGGTTTTCGGGGTTATTATAGTCTAAGTATAAAGGAACCCGAAGGGAACAGTATTAGCAATTATTCCGACCCCTATATTACGTCGGAGCTTTGATGGTTGGGATGGACAGCCACCTCCTGGTCGTGACGCGCAATGAGGGTGTTCCCCCTTATACTAACAGTCCTTAATAGGGATTCTAGTACCCCTTATTCTAGTCCCTATTAAGGACTGTTAAGAAAAGGGGGAACATCCCAAGTTCAGTCACCTCCTGGTCTTGGCACGCAATGAAGGGGGGGAGCTCTGGAGCCACTTCAAGTTAACATCAAGTGACCTTTCAGCTCTCGTCTGACGAGCGACGACTGGCTCGAAGCGACAAATAAGTTGGTTGAGCCATATGGTCATTTCTCGAAAAAGATGGTTTTTTTGGGTCCTTATTATAAGGCGGCCCCTCTTATTTTGGGTACCCAAGAAAGTACCATAATGTAGAGAGCTGACCATGTTGAGCCGATAAGAACCCTACGATGCGCAACATGCGACAAGATGGACCTTAGCGGTATATAGCTTTAGAACATTCGGGGCACTTGTGGTGTGTGTTATTTGAGCGGAGTGGGGGTCCCTAAGCTCTAAACCCTAGCCCTAAACCCTAAACCCTAAACCCTAAACCCTAAACCCTAAACCCTCAGCATGGGCAAGCTCGTCGGCTCTGCGGCATCATGCTGCGACCCTGGAGGTGAAAGCACTCCAGGGTCCACGGCAGCCTGGGAGTGGAAGACGGTTTAGGGTTTAGGGTTTAGGGTTTAGGGTTTAGGGTTAAGGGATTCGGGTTTAGGGTTTAGGGTTTAGGGTGCTTAGGGATTTAAACTTGAAATTTCTGACTACTCCGTCACCCCTCCCTCCACCTCCACCCCTCCCTAGCACGCTACAGAACAAGGCCCTTATGAAGCTTCATTAAGGGTTCTTTGGGCCATATTTTGGGTGAGAGCAAGGGTAGTCAAAAGTGGGTAGTAGAGCATCCCATGACAAAAGGGTTGCTCGTTTAGGTGTTCCGTTGTTGTAGAAACTAGCTGCCCAACACACCTGACATTGCAGGTCTGGGTTGTCTCGGTTGCTTCAGGGTTTGGGAGTAAGGATGGAGGGCGAATTTCCGGGCTCTCAGTTTTGGTCCGAGCTATCCACTGAACAGCCTGGGTCTTTTCCCAGCTGAAGGCAAGAGTTCTTGGGTGCTGCTGAAACCCTAAACCCTAAACCCTAAACCCAGGGGTGCATGCAGGAAGGCTTTTATTTGAAAGGATTGAAAATTGAAGATTCTCCTAATTGAGCAGAAGACGGAGAAATCGGAAGGCAGCCACTTGAAGCTGTTTCTAGTTCATGGTCGGGATCCCGAATTAAAAAACTCAAATCTATATTCCATATTGGGTTTTAAGTACCCTTAAAAATGTAAAAAATGATACCCAACTATGCCCTAAACCCTTAACCCTAAACGCATCAGTTTCGGGCTGCATGGTACTGGGCTTCGGGCTTTTAGGTGCTTCGGTGGCCTGAGGCTTAGGAGGTATTCCAAGGTTGCTGGGGACCCTTTTGCAACGAGCTTGGCTATGCTGGGGACCCTAAACCCTAAACCCTAAGCCCTAAACACTAAGCCCTAAATCCTGAGCCCTTAGCCCCGTCTATTCGTGTGATGGGGTCTGCAGTGATGACAAAACCCAAGCCATTCGCAAAAAAAACCTTCGGAAGTCCTAATTAAACCCTAAACCCTGAACCCTGAACCCTAAACCCTAAACCCCAAACGCTCGAGCCTCAACGCCGCGATGCAGTTCTTCAGCCATTTGCCGGGCGAAGCTTTGCCCAAACTGAAGATTCCAGGTTTAGGGAGTTTAGGGTTTATAGGGTTTAGGGTTTAGGGTTCGGGGTTTAGGGTTTAGCGAGAGTTGCTTGGGGATGTCTTGCCCCTCAACACAACACAAACCCTAAGCCCCGCATGGCCTCTAAACCCTAAACCCTAAACCCTAAACCCTAAACCAGAGACCCCCCGATAATATCCTTAGTAGCCCTAGAACCATTTGGGGGTTTAGGGTTTTTGGGACCTTGAATGAACTTCATTTTTTTTTACTAGATGGGGGTTCCCAAAAATAGGAGTGCCTTATCGGGGTCCTTATAAAACGGGAGCCCTACTATTTGGGGTCTATATATTAGGTCCCAGATTTTCGTAAACCCCCCGTATAAAAATTAAGGGTACCCTTTTTGGGGTTGGTTGCTTTATAAGGGAACCTCGAACCAAAAAAGAGGGGCAAGGGTACCGCTGGGCTGTCCAGCATCTGTTCATGAGGAAATAGTCCTGAACCCACACTCGCATCCCCATTGCACATTGAGGGAGTATTCTTGGCTGCACGCAGAAGGGTAGCTAGAAATTAAATTTTTCTATAAATTAACTTTGTAGCTGCCATATTAAGAAACCCAACAAACCCCAAAAGGCTAAGGATCTAAAGTTGCAGTTAAAGCACCACAAAGTATTTGCCTACTTGAAGGATGTTGCAGCCTTTGGGGTTCGAAAGACTCAAGCTCCTTCAATCAGCTGAGGGCCGAGTGAAGGCTTCATGAACAGGTTGGTTCGGAGGGTCTTGCAGTGAGACGGCTCTGCCCCGAGAGCCCACTACCCTTTAATTAAGGAATATACCTTACATCGTTTTAAAGGTCCCGAAAGAAGTTAAGGCCTATTCCTGAATTAAGGGAGAGGAGACTCTCTAGGTGTGACCATATGCTTCTGTCGCTGAAGCGCTGTGGCAGCTTGGGATTCAGGGGGTTTGGCCAGCAGCACTCATCTAGCGCCGACTCAATGGATGCCCCGTCACCCTGGACCCTAAACCCTGCTCCCAAAAAGCCTCACACAACGCAGTGGACTTTAGGTAGTTTGTACTCTGACCCCGAAAAGAGACCAGACTTTAGAGAACTGGCCACATAGGAATTAGAAGAGGATGATTTTTGGTGATTGTGTTGGCTTTTTAGTACCTGAAAGAGCCGGCGTGTGACATGTCATCCCCCTCCTCATCTCCGCCCCCAAACACTTTCAGAACCGCCAACCAAGCTCTCAAAAAAACATCCCTCACGAAGCCTCGTTGCCTAAATGGCCGAAAACCCTAAACCTTAAACCCTAAACCCTGAGCCATAGACCCCTCAACAGCCCAAAACCCCAGTTCCCAACCTCGCCCCAGTGCGGGCGACGAAGTCAAAGCAAGGCATGGCTTCTCCAGAACTTAGGGTTTAGGGTTTAGGGTTTAGGGTTTAGGGTTAAGAGCCTAGGGTTTCGGGATTAGGGTTAAGAGCCCGAGAAGAGCCTCCAAGGTCTATGATGCAAAAAAAGTTCAAAGGCTTATAGGGCTTACCCGGCGCTGTCTCTGACGTCTGAGCAACTAGGGCGTAAGCCCCACCTAAAGCCCCAACCCCAAAACCACACACCCTGGCTGGAACCAAGAAGCCTGGGTTCCCAATCATTTCGGGAAAAGAATGTGTGCCCTTCTTCGCTTTTTTTTGTTCCAGGTTTAGGGTTTAGAGCTGAGAATTTCGGCCTTGGGGGTGAAGGCTTTAGGATACTACAACGGGGGGCTGAGGACACCACAGACTGCCATAGCATGCCTAGTGGAAAGCTCCTGGCTCAAGCCGGTTGCTTCGATCCGCAAGCGCTGTGGAACCGTCAGGGCCAGGGCTCGAGTTGTACTCCGAAACCCTCTCAGCGCTCCGCCTCCAACATCTTGTTGCAACCCTATTCCCCAAAACCCTTGGAGCCCGGTTCTGAGCCCTGAAACCCTAAACCCTAAACCCCGAAACCCCAGACCCTCAACCTGTTCCGTCCAAAAATCCTTCGTGGGTGTGGTGCGGAGGGTTAGGATTCTGAGCCCTGTTGCCAGAAGCCTCAAACCTCTGTAGATACTACGCAGGCATGTACGGTTTAGTTCAAGGCTCTGATCCTGAACCCTAATTAAACCCGAAAGCAGCCCGGGCCCTTGTGCAAAACCAGCCCCCAAAAAAGGATGGCATGATAGAGGGGAGGGACCCTGAACGCCAAATCCTAGACCCTCAGGGGTGTAGGGTTTCAGTGCGTGAGGGTACTGAAGATTTGGGCCTTAATCGTGTTGCCTTGCAGCTCGTTTTTCTCAACGCTTCCGATAGGTGCATGCCCCCAGAAGCGCACCTCCGAACGGGTTAGGGTTTAGGGTTTTAGGGTTTTAGGGTTTTAGGGTTTTAGGGTTTTAGGGTTTTAGGGTTTTAGGGTTTTAGGGTTTTAGGTTTAGGGAGACTGTTTTGAATACTAGAGGTGCGAAGGTGTAATAGCAGGGAGTGGACGACTGGAACCGGGTTCGTCGGTCTACCCTAAACCCTACATTCTAAACCTTTGGTAATCTTTAGGCTGTTCTTGCCACCTGCCAAACAGCCTCGCAACCTTTACGCTTTAGGGTTGGGGTTTAGGGTTTAGGGTTTAGGGTTTAGGGTTTAGGGTTTAGGGTTTAGGGTTTAGGGTTTAGGGTTTGAGGGTCTAGCACGAACACGAACCTTCAGGTTTCGAGGAATCCCATGGATTGAGCAAAACTCCTAAACCCCCCCCTACTTTGGAGAAGACCCTGGAAAGAAAGTATATATACCGTTTAGGTAGAGGTAGCTAGAATGAGAGCCCAGAACCAAAAAAGTCCCCATAGTTGGAACGTCCTTATCCCCATACCACAAAAGGTATAGTACTGGTAATCCCAGCTCTAATCATCCTTAAACTTAAACCATGCTCCAACTTTCGCCCTAAACCCTAAACCCGGCTGCACTAGTTGGTGGGGAACGGGTCATTGATGAAGATGTTTCAGAGTAGCCCTAAACCCTAAACCCTAAACCCTGCAAAAAAAACCTAAACCCTAAACCCGAAACGGTTTTAAGGGGGCCAACTTATCGCGCGAGGACCCCAAAACCCACAAGTAGCTAAAACAAAAACCCAGAACCAAAAACAAGAATTCAAGTATCTCGAACGTTTAGTACTCCAAAATATTCAAGTATCCCTAAAGTTTCGTACTCCAAAACCCAGAGACCTGGTTCCCCAGGGAGGTCAAAACCCTAAACCCTAAACCCTAAACCCTAAACCCAGAGACCTGGTTCCCCAGGAGGTCAGGACCAAACATCGACATAAGTTGCTCTCCAAGCTCTGGGGGTTCAAGAGCTCTACTCCCATCCATTGCGCATCTTTAACCCTAAACCCTAAACCCTAAGCCCTAAACCATAAACCCCAAACCCTAATCCTAAATCCTAAACCCTCTCTGTGGGCTTCTTTGGGCTTTACCTGTGTCGGGACTGTCGAGCCACGGGCGCCTGAACCG